TGGTGGCTGGGGAATTCTGGGAGTTGAAGTCCAGACTTCTTAAAGTTGCCAAAGTTGTAGCCTACGTTGTTTGTCAAAATTGCTGTTACTTTCTCAGGATACGTGTAACAGCTCTGCGTGTTAGAAATAAAGGGGGAAGTCAAACCAACCCGTTATCCAAAACTACAATATGAACGTAAAAAGTTTGGTGTTTTATCAGATGTTTTATCCATTTTGTGCCAGCAGTCAAGGAATGTTTTGGTCTTATCTGGCCTTTGTGATTTTGGGGGTGGTTTCTTTAGCCCTGTAAAAAAGAGAATGCACAGTAGATTTAGTTTTCCTAAGGAAAACTAGGTAAGAATCAGTCCAAAAAAAACGATGGCTGGTATTTTGAAGCCTGGGGTTAACCTTGTAGCTGAGCTGTTTAAGGTTTTGCATCTAACCCCAACAATTTTGGATGACAGGGATTCACCGGGAACGCATTTATTCTTGCTTTTTTCCCCATTCAGGAAAAATCCTGCACTATCTTTGACTGTTGCAGGATTCATGCCTTAATGCGGTGTTTCTCAACCTTGACAGCTTTAAGTTGTGTGGATTTCAACTCCCAGAATTCCCCAGCCAGCAGGCTGGCTGGGGAATTCTGGGAGTTGAAGTCCACATACCTTAAAGAGTGGCCAAGGTTGAGCAGCACTGCCTTAACGAGCTGAACATATTCATAAGGATGAAGAGTTTTCTAAATAAGGGCAGTTGCATTATGCCGTGTTTGTACCTGTCAGCCATCACAACACCGGTGAAATAAACCCATAGCTTTAACAACTGCTAGACTGGATTCTGAGGAGGGGTGGACCTGGTTCTGAGCCCCAGATGCATTGGTATGTCCACACCCCTCTTCGTTAGCACGGATGAGGTCAACCTAAGTGGTAATGCAGGTTTGGGAACTCATGACATTGCCGTTATGAAACACAACTGGAGGTGGTGGTTGGGAGTGGTATTTCTGCTCCATGATTCAGAAGAGTCCTTTGACTGTGTTCCTCTCTTTTAGCAAAACACATGCCGCTGGAGTGGTTCCTAATACATAAAGATAGACAGACTCCCACTGGGTGCACTATTTACTACAATCTCTTGCTTAGACATCCTAGTCAGAATTATCTAAACAGTGAACGTGGTGAGTCAACTCGGTCACAAGTGTCTCCCTGGGACGCATTCGGATTCCTACGTTCTTTGCAAAAAAATCCCAGCAACCAGCAAATGCTGGGAGGGCCCCTAACAGCCTGTCACCCTTTTAGGAGGAATGTTTAGAGAAGATCCTTAACTCTTTAGAAGTGACCTACTGCACCTGGAAAGGTGCTTTAAAACACACCAGTCTCCCACTTCCTTCTACACAAACTTAAGAGGTGCTAATTTACATGATTTATTTATTTTTTTTGGAGGATTTCAAGCAGTGGCTTTGCAGGAAAAAAGGCGTGCACGTTGACTGGGCCAGGATAAGCAATCTAGCTTCAGTTCCAGGGTGTATCCGCTGAACAGCGTGCCTCCTCGCCTGCTATTCCTTGCTTGGGAGTGGCAGAGGAAAATCGCATTATTTTCACCCCACGTGGTCAAGCTTCTCGCCGGCTTTGTGATTCCTTTCTTTTGTGCCCTACTTGAAAGGCGGGGGCAAAATCATAGAATTTGGAGGGACCTTGGAGGTGGACGCGTCAGTCCCAGCAGCTACTCAAAAGTTTATCTTGCTCCTCAGTAAAAATGCCGCTTCTCCAGGGCCTGGAAATTGGCAGAGGAGGAAATGCCGTGGCCAAAAGCTCCTTTTGTTTATACCTTTGGCATTCCTGTGGGGAATGTTGCTGAAGTCCTCTGGAATGGGAATGGTTTAACTGGTTTTCAGTTGGCTCGGCCTGGATTAGAGCTTTTTGGTATTCAAATGAAAGGCCTGTTTATAGGAAGCTGGCGATGATCTCAGCTTTCTGCAGCTTCTTTTCACCCACTGGGGAAAGAAAGAGCTGTGAAGTTCCATTCTTGGCTTGCATCTTAAATAATACCTTGGGAGTCTGCCTTATTCTCTGTAATGGTCCACACCAGATTCAGAACAGAACAGAAGGAATTCCAGAAGGCAGGTAGCTATAACGCTGGCTCACTTCGTTTCTTCCCCTTTCCTTCCTTCACCATCATCCACTTCCTTCAATTCTGCTTAACAGGCCTGCTTGCTGTGTTTTGAGCCGTTCCAAACCCTTCCATAAAAACTTCAACAGAAATTATGCACGGAACGGGAGCCCGAATGTTGTCTGAGAATTAAGCAACGGCTTGTAAGACATTCTCTTAATTCTTACAGAATTCCTCCCCATAGCTGAGTCTAACCAAGAGAATGCTAGCTGGAACTTAGTTGGTGGAATGATGATCTGTCTTCCACCCGCATCCCTTGAAGAATACCTGTGGGATCTACTGGTTAGCGCTACTGGATTTGGTTGTGAGAAACGTGGGTTTCGGTAGTTATTCAAGCACGGGAAGGTTTAAGCGAAGGATATTGCACAGAATCATGAGAAGGGTAAAAATACTGCTTTGCAGGTATAATGAAGAATTAAGCTAAAGTATCTGAGGGTGTTATAAAACCAGGCTCTCACTGATAAATGTTAAATATATCTAGACAAATTGACTCCAAGCGTTAGCAGCTCACACCTGCACATCTTTGACTTCTATCTGTTATGCTGTTTTCTCTGTTAATTAAAGGTGGGATTTTTTTTCCAATTTGTCAGTTACTCTTTTGAAATGGCGTCTGCGTTCCCACACAACATTCTTTCATTGTTTTATTATGACACGAGAGGCCGTTCTCCTTTATTTTTTCAAGAGTGAAACATGGATAGAATCTTTGGACCCTCTGAAATCCATTTATTTAGACCCTCCAATGGGCCATCTCTGATGGTCCTGTCGAACTCCGCTTGTCTATTTTTAAAAGCCTCCAGGAGAACAAGAGTTCTTTAAAAACAAGCTGTATTTTTCTATTAATAGCAGGGTTAGATATATCCTCAGAGAAGTAAAGATAAAGTCAGCCAGATGCTCGGGGTGTTTTTTGGTGGTGTTTTTATGCTTGGATGTGCATAGACATTTGTTTGGCTTAAAAAGAAGAATCACTAGCTAAATACTTGGGTTTTGCCTGAAGAAGAACTCTGACCATAAACCTGCTTGCTGTAGATACAATTAAAATCCATTTCAGGGCTGCTTTGCTTAAGCCAAAGATTAAAATGGTGATTTAAGGAATATAAAATGGGGCTATAGGAAAGGGTGGCTTCTCAGTTTCTCTAGCCCAGTGTTTCTCAGCCATGGCAGCTTGAAGATGGGTGGACTTCAACTCTCAGAATTCCCCAGCCAGCATGGCTGGCTGGGGAAT